CTATATACAGAACGTAGATTTAAACATATAGAAAATTAATGTTCACAAAATGAGAAACAAATAAATATGAAACACTAACAACCCTTTTCTACTATTCTAAAATAGACTCAAGAAGATGCAGAAGTGTTACGTTCCCTTGTCGAACCTTTAGCAGACCAGATAAAAGCTCTGAAAGAAAATTAAGAGCTACTGATGAGCAACTTCAAAAATGTAAGGAATGTGGACATCATCAAAAAGAGGTAACATTTAAATATTTAATTTTCTAAATGATAAATATGTTTTATCTACGACTGTGTGATAAATGTCACTTATCTTACTCATTTTGAATGAGTTAAGAACTTCATAACCTCACTACTTTTCATTGCCGTACTATTTTTAAAAGTAAATAATAGCAACAAATATATTATCAAACTGTAGTCATCTTGGATTTAAAATATTTTTACACAAATTTTTACAGCTACTGTTTGAATTATTAGTTTAAATTTTCTACTTGTCAAAAACATAATGGAAAACATCAGATAAATTTTAAACTTTTTTTTTTTAATTTTGGGCAGTCATAAAAAAATGTACAATACCTGTGATAATGCATTATTAACAAACTTGTGTGATTCCACAACTCGGCTGTCACCTCATTGTGTAAATTTTCTACGTATATATTAATAATGTTCTTATCCCATTTGTATTTTAAATACCTATTAAGATTATTAAGAACATGGAAATTTATTTTGTTTAACTGTTTTTAACTATTGATTAAACTACAAATTACCTCGAAATATAAATAAATGACGATTAATTAATTTTTATCACAAATAACTTTTTAAAATGAATTCATTATCAGATGGCGAAATCTTATTAACATTACTTATTTCATCGACTGATTTTTCAAAGCAGTTTGTTATTGTATAATGCCTACAGGGATAATTTTATATATTTTTGTTTTGTGGATCATTTTCCTCACATTTACACAAGTCTATGCGTTTACGGTTAGATTAACTACTTGTGTTTTCGATGAATATAATTTAATTCCCTCCCGAGGTAAAACCGTTATATTTTGCATCCGGTGAAGCTTACCTTATACATTTTTTTCAACTACACTTTTGTGCTTTATTTTCACCCTTTTTTAACAGTATGTATCGAATAGATGTACATTGCAGAAATATAGTAAACTAAATGTTTTTTGTAATATTTTTTATCATTCGCAATCTGTCCATCATATCAAAATTTTTCAGTTGATGTCCATGATTCCTAAAGATAAAAATTATCTGAACAAATATCTTTATATTCCTTTATTTATTTATCAGTCTATAAAAAGGTAAATATATGTAAGTACCGATACTCAAATATTTTAACCGAACTTGCCGAGATGGTACTATATGTATACAAACGAGATAACACACAGTCTAATAAGCCCGTTAGGTTAAAATAGTTGTTTAAGGAAATTTATTCGTGGTCTATCATTACTGCAGTTAGTGTCAGAAATGTGGTAGGTACGATCTATAATGTTGAGTGTAATTACTGCCTCACAAATATATAAAAGCCTAAAACCTCAATAATTTCTTTTTAAATTGTGTTTTTAGTTTGACTTATTTATTCCCTTAGTGCAAAATTATAGCAATAAAAATATAGGTTGACATAATTGAAACTTGAATACAGTTGTAATAAATAAACTTATTTTTTCTAGAATCTAACATGAAAAATCTATACTGAAAAAGTTGTTATTAATTATTTTGTCCTTTGGGGAGAACTTTCTGGGATATACTGTCTACTTAAATGTGTCATTAAACTAAAAGTCACCTTACCACTAGTACTGCTAGTATCTATACATTTTTGTAGCATCTGCAGTGCAGTTTTTTGCAAATATCTCCGTTTCATTGTAATTTTCGAAAAAATATTTGTGTACTAAATTAAAGAGGAATAAATTGTATATAATTTAACCCCCTATAGCGCCGCAAAATTGGGCCAATTTTTCGAATTCATATTCTCCTTGCCGCAAAAATAGTACCATAACTTCATGACGACCTTGGTGCCAGAACTGGATAACTCCACTTTTCAGATAAATTCATATTTTAATTAATGGTAAAAAATTGTATCACTGTAGACTGCCCATCTTTGGAAACAAATTCGTACATCTCCATAGATTTTTAAGGGAATAATGAACGGTTGGTATCATATTTGGCAGCCAGAAACAGACATTGAAGAAGAACCCTTTTTTAGGATTTAGGAAGTGAATATATACCAAGCAATATCAGGGAAAACAAGAAAAAGTTCGCATTTGTTCAGGTACACAAAAAGTAACGACATCGTAGAATGCAGTGTAGCTATGCTGGTTTTGCAATCTTTACAAGTTTTGATTTGAGGAAAGGGAACAAGACAACTTTATCCTTACCTTCACATAAACTTTATATTGATGGTGTAGCACACTGGTAAGTGCATTGTTTGGCTAAAATTAGTTAAATATACTAAACAAGTGCAAACATTTGCAAGCATTGTTTAGTGTATTTAACTCATTTTTGCCCAAAAATGCACTTACCACGTGTGTGCTACACCACAAATATGACCTACCCATTACCACTTAAGAATAAAAAAAAAAAAAGAAAAATGTCAAGATTTTGGCATCAAAATATGTGTCTACCAATGATCATTGGTTCTATCTAAGCATTTTGGGAGAGCTCACTATAACTGAAGAAAATTTAATGACTGTCACTGAAGAAAGCAACGAGGAATAAGAAGGAGGTTATGAATTAGATTGTAGTTATGTATAGTTTGCCAATGTTTGTTTTTTTTTATAATTTTAAGAAAATAAAGTATTTACAGCATTTATGACAAGTATTTATTACTATATATAAATAAAATAGACAAGTAAGTCCAAATTTTGAAAAATAAAAATCTGCAACGTTTTAACATATTTTAGAAGCGTCACTATCAATTTATATCCTATTTAAACATTATATTTTTAAATTTCGGCAGTAAATTTTTGTAAAATGCAATTTTGAAGAAATGAGAAACTCGGTTCCCACAAATTTCAAATTATGGACTTACCCGATTATTCTCCCAAGATTTTTTGTTGCAAAAACTTGCGCAAACGCATGTGCAGTCATTGAAAAAAATACATTTTGCGTTCACCGTAAAAGTAAGGCATATAATACTATAATTTAAACTTCTGTTCACATTTTTTTTTTTCTGTAATTGATTTTTTTGTTGCGCATGCGCATTCATGAAAAGTATATTAATATCCACCACCCATAAAGTAGAATATGTGTCGCGTTTTTCTTTTATCGCGGTGTTCCTGGTAGCATGAAGCCAATTGCCCATACAGTGCAACCATAGAAACGAGTTGCATCGCTGTCCTACGTATTGAGTCTATACAATAATACAAATGCCTGTGCAGTACAACGTAATCAACGCATGTTAGGTGTTCGCTATTATGTCATTGAAAATAATTATAAATGATTTTAATTGGAGATTGAAGGAATTATATTTAGATATTATAACTACATTTGGCGCTCTATTTGAATTTGTGCTTAGTGATGTCACGAAAGTTTTACTTAATTTTTTTTTTTTAGTTTAAATGAAAATAAAAAAAAATAACGACATCTTGGTTGGCGAAACGCGTGTTGGTGTTTTGATGTTTTGTGGAAAACCACGTCAGTGTTTCCTACACAAATAGTCGGATTAACTAGTTATAAATATCGTGTATGTCTTTAAAATTAATTTATTTTTGTATAAATATAATTATACATTTGTTGTAGTGATTTAGAAGTGCGTAATATTGGAGTGACAAATTTCACCAAATGCAGGTTTCTAATTTTTACACCGTCTTTTTATACACATACCTATTCTAATTTATAAAATATGAAAATCATCTATTATGTTTTTTTCAATAAACCATATTTTTATTTTAATCACACAGATTAATCGTTTGTCATGTACTCCTATGTAACTATTACTTAGTAATAATTTTACATGTCCTGTGAAACAACTAAAGGTTTTCTGCATCAAAAATTATTCTCTGGCTAGCTGGTCATTAAAAAAAAAACGAATCCTTTTTCTCTTACTATTTTTTGTTATTTGCATACCAAATAAAATGTTTGTTTCAATCAAGTCTAGTCAGTTGCTTTATTGATAATACTTGTTTCACTTTTTACTAATAAAGTTAAAGCAGACCAAAATTTTAATGATTTGAATATAAAATCAAAAAAAGCGTTGTACTGCGTAAGGTTTTGTCTGAATTTACGGCGCGTTCTACTTAGCCATTCTCCTTACAAAGACAACACCGCTATACTCAAGTGGTGGTTGCACTGTACAGGCAATTGGCCTTACGCTTCCCGGTAAGCTTATTCCACGTCTTTTTATTTGTTGTTACTTCGTTTTTTTATTGCTGAAGATGGACCGGGTTCGTCATTGATTTTATGGAAGTCGGTCTGGTCGATAATATCCGCTCCAATATCCATTTCCTCTGCCATCTTGCACACTGGCTCCTTTTTTGTCTCCATATCTTTTTCAAGCTGTTCAGTTTTTCTCTATTTCTTCCTCTTGCCCATCGTTAAGATCTTCTTGTTAGTACAAACATCATTACAATTTGTGCAAATAATGGAGCATTTAAGGCCGACCTTTCTGCATCCACATGCCACCCGACATCCCTTCGTGCATTTGCAAGAAATTAATTTTAGCAAACTAATGGAAGCTGGTGGCTGGAGGGTGGAAACAGGAATTAACCCGTCTTTGCTTTTTTTCCATCCCCACTCCTGTGAATTTTTTTGAGGCTTCATACCAGATCGAGATCTGATGGTATGCTCGGATTGAATACTCTGCTTTTCCTTCACTTTACTCACAGCACTCACTTTTAAGAACAAATTAAACACCACAGGTAATACTACCCCCTGCATCCCTGAAGGTACTTCAAGATATCTTGTGTGGAAGAGGGCTACACGTTTAGAGACAATGGACACACACCCAATTGTCGAATATGCTAGGATTAATTTTTGGTTTAGAAAAAATCCTAACTCCTCGACCGGGTATTGAACCCGAGACTCCAGGATGAGAGGCAAGTGTTCTTACCACTCGACCACGAAGCCACGAATAAAACAACTCAATTCCGTGAAACATTGACATTGAAAATATACAAACAGCACTATAAGAATGCTAAACTCGTACTGACATATGGCAGATGTTTAAAGAAGGGCGAGAGGGAACAAATGATGAACAAGGGATATAAGAAGCGAGGGCCTTTGTACCTAAGTTAAAAATTTTTGACTACTTAACTCATTTGTGTTCAAACTGGCACAATATACTATTTGCGCAAAAAAAAAGTAATTAAAAATAATCATATATTTTGGGAAGAATAGTAGAATTAAAGTTATAGTATAATTTTTGCGTTAATTTTATGGCGAAAATTGTAATTTTCAAGAATTCGAAAAATGTACCCAAATTTGCAGCGAAACTGTTTATCCCACAAAAAAAACTTGTATTTCCTGGACTATTAAGGTTATAAGTACATTATTTATATTTTCTTTGTTTATTTGCTTATTTTGTTTTTATTAAAAAATTAGCTTCCTAGAAGATAAATGAACTTATAGGTTTAAAGGAGCAAATGAGCTCAAACAGTTTATGAGTATGTCGATTTATTCCCCTGTAGCAGAATAAAAAATAAACAATAAATAGAAATTCCATTTTGTGATGAATCGAAGTGTACTTATACTTTTTAAAGACTCATGAATTCCTACTCTCTATTTCACAAAGACTTATTTCGTTCTAGCAGCACTTCATAGCTATTATTAGGAATCTAATTCTATTAAAAAGGGGATTTGGGTATAAGTTGACTTAACCACCTATTGCATGTGACCACAGCATTTACACTTTTCAAATTAAAATTATAAATAAATCACACAATAATTGTACAACTTTTCTAATATTTTTCTATTAATTTTATTACCATAACATGACAAAACAGTGTTCAATTGAGTTTTGTTGCTGTTGTCATACTAGTTGCTGTTTTTCTCCTTACTATTGTTCCTAGTCAATAATAACAGAGACAGCAATGTTGTCATCTTGGTTATTATGGCATATACATATATGCACCCACCAATTTAGGACAAACTGTATATTGGGAACCATTTTTTCGCACATAAGTAGAAGACTAATTTTAATTGTCAGAACATCTTTTCTGAAAACATGAGCAATAATTTGTGAATTTCATTATTGAAATAAATTACCTGTTTTCATTATGAAATGTAATCGAGAAGAACGGTTATAAAAGAAGAATTTTTTTTTTTATTAAGCGTATTTTGAGCAATGTGATAAAATTTAAAATAAATAGTTAAAATAATATAAACACAGGACCATGTATATGTATATGAATAAAAGAATAACATATAAAATTATTTGTCTTAATAATGTCATTTAAAAAATTACAAAAAAAATTCACAAACAAGAAAACACATCACTCCTAGGCACAAACAATTTACATAAAATTTTACACGTAATTAAAATCTGTAATGTCATAGTAGGCACTGGCTAAAAGATGACTTTTTAATTCAAATTTAAAATGGTTCAGAGGCAATTCTTTCAGAGTCTTTGGCAGAGAGTTGAACAACGTTACCCCTAAGTTGCCTCTTAGTTATTTCTAACCTTTGATTGGGTATTCGTATATTGTTCCTTGTACGGGTGTTGTATTCATAAGTATTTCCATTCATAGTATAGTCACTGATATGCTCCTTTACGTGGATCAAATTACATAATATCATTGCCGACGGTAGAGTTAAAATTTTAAGTTTTACGAACCAAGGCTTACAACTCACCATTTGGTTTACATTTACAATTGCTCTAATTGATCTCTCTTGGACAATAAAAACTTTTTGAATATGAATAGATGATCCCCAGTTTATTAGGCCATAAGTCATTGCACTATGAAATAGAGCATAATACGCTGTAATTGCAGCATCTGTATTAACTCTACTTCTGATCTGGCGAATAGCATAGACTTTTTTGACAAATTAGTACAAAGATGTTCGATATGTGCCTGCCATGTTAACTTAGAGTCTATGATTATACCTAGTGGCTTAACTGTTTCAGACGAGGTAGTCTTTTGGGTGCTGAATATTAGTGTGTTTGTTTTGTTTTTATTTAGACAAAGTTTGTTTGCATTAAACCAATCTAGTGATTTATTAATAACATATGTTTTAGTTTTAACGATATTTTTGTCACATGTCATCTAGCTGCTCCGCAAACATAGTATCATCGGCAAACAAAATTGAAAAAACTGGCATAACATATGGAAGGTCATTTACATAAATCAAGAACAACAACGGTCCCAGGACACTACCCTGCGGGACACCCTCTTGATACAGGCAACAAACTACTTAACATATCATGGTAAAACACGCACTGCTTTCTATCTGTTAGATAGGACGATAATAAGTTTAAAGCTACTCCTCTGAAACCATAATACACTAATTTGTCCAACAAGATATCATTTGAGACACAATCAAATGCCTTGCTTAGATCCAGAAAGATCCCTAAAGTTGATTTCTTATTTTCGAAACCTTCAGTTATAAAATTAACAAGATTAAGCACAGCACTTGATGTGTTTCTACCTTTTCTAAAGCCAAACTGTTTACTAGTGAAAAGGTTATTTGACTCAAAATAATTTATGATTCTTAAAGAGATTATTTTTTCAACGATTTTTGCCAAAATTGGCAGTAAAGCAATAGGTCGATAATTCGATGCATCATTTATATCTCCCGATTTAAAAAGTGGTATGACCTTGGCAATGTTTAATTTATTGGGGAATACTCCGTTCTGTAATATAAGATTTACAAGATAAGTAATGGGTGCAGCGAGTGATAAAATATTTTCTTTGTGTATAATTACTGATTGATTATACACATCCGTTGACTTAGATTGTTTCAAAGATTTTATAACCTCTCCACCTCCGCTATTGAAGCAGGATACAAGAAAATTGAAAGGTCATTTTTCTGTGGAATAATTTTTAGGTAATCCATATGAGAATAATTTGATTGCGGTATCTGTTTGATTATATCATCTACTATACTTGTAAAGAAATTATTGTAATTTTCAGAGGAAATTGAGCTGGCTTTTTTTTTACCTACAATACGTACATTTTTATTTATATTGTCCCAGATTGTTTTTTTTTTTATTGTCAGAATCTATTATTTCTTTATTTGCTTAATTTTTTTATATTCAATTATCAGTTGTTCATAATTATATTTGCATTTTTTGAATTCATCTTTCATTTCTTCATTATTTGGTATATTTAGTTTTAACATTTTATTTAGCCGGTCAATTTCTTGTTTAACTTCCACTATATCTGGATTGGCAAGAATTCTTTTATTATCCTTAGAATTAGTTTTAATTTTTATCAGAGGAAAAGATATGTCATGGTAATAGGTGAGAATGTTGTAGAAAATGTCCACGGCCTTAACAGTTCTGAATATAGATCAATCCAGTTTTCATACAGTAAGTAGTCACAAAATTTTTGTTTATTGGCAATGCTCTTACTATATATGGTTTTATACCTGGAATTTTGCTTTTGCTGTTTGAAATATTTTGAAACTTTATAATTTGTGCCTGATGGTCAGATAGCGGAAAATCTGTTAGAACAGTTTCAGTGACATGAAAATTTGTAAAAATATTGTCAACGCAAGTTTTAGAATTTCCTTGCACCATAGTGAATTCTTTTATGCATTTTACTAATCCAAAAGAGAGAAATAAATCTACAATTTCTTTACAATCACTTGTTTGTAAAGCAAAATTTATATTAAAATCACCACCGACAATTATTTTATGTGTTTTGAATTTACTACTTAAAATTTGTAGGACTTTAGACATATTTTCTTTAAAAATGAATTTATCACCACTTGGAGAACGATATACAGTTACTATAATACAGTTTAATGAGTTTTCAAAGTGTTTTTCTACATTAAATTCATATGGCAGATTAATTTTTGTGGATAGAACATTGTTTTTAATAAAAATACATACCCCTCCATGAATGCTCTCTGATCTAGAAAATATAGCTGCTATATTATAATTTTTAATTTTGTATAGATATTTCTCATCATCATGTAACCAGTGCTCACTTAATAAAACAACGCTAAAATTGTTGTCTAGTAAAATTGATTCTAAAGAGTTACATTTATTCTTTAGACATTGTATATTTAAATGCAATACTGCAACTTGCTCTCTTGACACACTGACTATAATACTACTGTCGTATCATTAATAATAATAATAATAATATGTTGTCAGGTGATCAGTGCTCACATCGATTTATTTCTTTATTTTTTAATTTTATCTTGTTATCTTTTAAATAGTTGATTGATTTGACCTTTACTCGATGAAAATCCATTTTACAAATAAACACAAAACAAACTTATGTTTGATTTTCACAATTTAATTAACTTATGACAATTGTTTTGCCACACAGTGGCTTAATCAGATGGTGAGTACAAGTCTTGTACTCACCATCTGATGAAGCCACTGTGTGGCGAAACAATTGTCATAAGTTAATTAAATTGTGAAAATCAAACGTAAGTTTGTTTTGTGTTTATTTGTTATCTTTTCCTAATGCTTGTAAGATATATCATCTTTTATTTACATTAAATATTTTGTTTAGATTAGCAAAGGTATAGATCAGTCTTCTCAACATGTAAACCTGAATGCAACCACGTCTACAAATACATCCTTTGATGCATCTAAAGTATCTGTATGTGATATGTGTAGTAATTATGAGGCACAACTTGTGAAGGAACAGAAAAGAACGATTGAATTGGAAACTAACGTTCAAACTGCTGAAAAAGCAGCCGAGAGACATAAGGAAGAATTATTAAAAGAAATTGGTTTCAGAAAAGAAATGGAAGAGAAGTGGAATGAGAAGAAGGAAGAGCATAAGCAGCAGGTAATTATTTAGTTATATTTAACAATAATTGTCATTTCCCAGATTTTTTTTTTTTCACTTATTTGATAGTATTTGATTCTAAGGTCACTAAATCTTTTCTGAGCTTCATAAATAGTTAAAAAAAATTATAAAGTTTTGAATTTCAGTAGGGATAAGAAG